TTTTTTCTCTAAATATATATATTCACCTAAATACTCTAACCTTCGTTCACAACCTACGGATGTTTATCCATTTTCCAAGAGTTGGAAATTCTTATGTTCGAGGAAAATTCTGTAATTGTTTAGACTGATGGAGAAAAATATGAAACCAACATTCCTGACAATCAGTTAGTTGCAATAGCTTTGACGAAATGAAATGAACAAATTTGTTAAAATTCCGAACAAATAATTCTCATGACGGAAAATTGATTGTTTATAAATTATTTATAGGTACTGCACTTCAGCAATGTTCCTTCAACAGTAAACTGTCTAATTTTTTTCACATTTTTGAAATGTTTTCTAACGGTTCCATATCGAGATTCAAATTCAGACCTGATACGAAGTTGAAATAATAAATTTATTGGAAAATGTCCGGAAACTTAGGATTAAATGAGACTCAAATGAAACTTCTGATGTTCGACTACAAAAGTAGAAAAGCATTTCATTGGCGGAAAAATAGCCAAAGTATTCGGATATCCTCAAGGATTTCCAAGTATTTTTTTACAGCTTGGAACAGACCACATTATAAGTTCAACCATTTTTAATAATCGAATTTGTCAATTAAATGGTGAGAGAAAAATTTGAAAAAAAATCGTGAATATTCAGCGCCATTGAAATTAAATTTTGCACAGAATTATTATTTTAAACATTGGCTGTTTTTAGATAAAGAATTGAAATTATTTAAACTTTCCAAAACCTTATTTTTTAAGCATCAAAAGCGATTTCTGTTAAAATTCCGAATATAAATAAATTTGGTATGATCCCGAATAAATTATTTTTGTAATGGAAAATTAATTGCTTATAAATTAATTATAGAAACTGCTCGTAATTTCAAAAAATTGCAATTTGTAAATTATTATTTTAGCAATCCTCGTTCAAAAGTACACTTTCTAATTTTTTTCTGATTTTTAAAATATTTTCTAATGGTTCAATATCGAGATTTAAATTCAGACCTACAAAGTTTAAATAATAAAATCATTGCAAAATGTCCGGAAACTTGGGGTTAAATGAGACACAAATGAAACTTCTGATGATCGACTACAAAAGTAGAAAAGTATTTCATTTGAGGAAAAATAGCCAAAGTATTCGGATATCCTCAAGGATTTCCAAGTATTTTTTCACAGCTTGGAACAGACCACATTATAAGTTCAACCATTTTCAATAATCAAATTTGTCAATGAAATTACGTGAAAAAAATTAGAAACAAAATCGTGAATATTCAGCGCCATTAAAATTACATTTTGCACAGAATTATTATTTTAAACATTCGCTGTTTATAGATAAATAATTGAAATTATTTAAACTTTCTGATTAAACTAACTGATTTTTGTAATAGAAAATTAATTGCTTATAAATTAGTTATAGGCCCGGTGGCCTGGCGTAGTGGTTAAGGCCGTTGCCTCACAACGGATAGGTTCCAGGTTCGATTCCTGGCTGGGTAGAATGGTGAGATCTAACCATTTTTAAAGTCTTGATCAATCGCCATATAGTCTCATCAGACTCGAAGCGATATAAAATAAGCATAAAAAAANATTAATTGCTTATAAATTAGTTATAGAAACTGCTCGTAATTAAAAAAAATTGCAATTTGTAAATTATTATTTTAGCAATCCTCCTCCAAAAGTAAACTTTCTAATTTTTTTCAGATTTTTAAAATAATTTCTAACGGTTCAATCTGTAGATTTAAATTCAGACCTGCACCGTTTAAATAATAAAATCATTGTAAAACGCCCGGACACTTATTGTTAAATGGGGCTCAAGTGAAACCTCTGATGTTCGACTAGAAAAGTAGAAATGCATTTCACTGGAGAAAAAATAGCCAAAGCACTTGAATATCCTTAACTTGATAATTCGCCCATTGGGAAAACTTTGGACGCTCAGGTCAATATGTAGCCCCAGATAACGTGAAACTAAAACCTGTGAAAAATTTGGGCAAATTACGGATGACCAAATATTTCCAAGTCACGTGTAAACATCAGTGCACCTCCACTAATTTCACCTTCATCCATCCAGCCCCATTGTCTATTCTCCTTCTGAATAATCAACTCGGCTTGGTGAACTAAATTTAAAAAAAATCAAGATTACTTCGTCCATCAGTTGAAAACAAAGGAAAAAATGCAAGGCACTTGCGATTTTCCCTAACCATCCTTGACGAGAAAATAGTAATAAACTACATAATTGGCTCTCCCTAGCCTTCCCCATTTTTGAGCAATGAAATCATCAGTTACGGACACGGATTACAATTTTCCCCTCCAGAATCCAACTCAAATGAACGATAAAATATGACAGAGTAACAGGTGTCCTTACTTGAAAACCCGTGAAGGAAACCTCTCCTCAAACACCCGGTCACAGTTCTATTCCACGCCACTCGAGGGGCGAAAATAAGTCGTTGGTTTCCTTGTATGCCGCACGAGACACGAATATACCTTTTGCACCTGGGAGGGACAGTGAAGTGAAGGGACTCTGGGCAAATAATGGACCGGCAATTGCTTCGTTTGTCCTGAGTATAATGGAATCCTCGTGGAGTCGTTTCCCAAGTTGTTCCAAGTAGGTATACAAGGCGGGCAACGTACAACAAGAGAAGGGAGGAGGGAGTGAAGAAAAAGAAAGATAAAGGGATATATGTAAAGGTGAAAGAAAGACAGTCAATGAGTGGGTGAAAAAGCCTAGCGAGGTCCCCTTTGTTCCGGTGTATTTGCCCGGTACCTCTGCCCTCCCATTCTCAACTCAATCCTTGCTCTCCCCTCTCTGTCACTCTCTCTCTCTCTCTTGTCCCCCTCACGCTGGGAAAATTTTTACCCCCCGCTGGCTTTCACGCTTTTCGCCGGGGATTTATTTCACTTCTACTATGGAAATCCAGGGAGACACCGGTATATTTTTTTTTCTTTTTATCCAGGAAAAGAAAAGCCGACCTGAAGGCGAAATTCGTAGAAACAACTTATACCCTCATCGATACCATTTTCCACGTAACGGTTTAATCCGTAAATATTTAATCTTGCTATAACCGCCAAAAGCTGATTTTACACTTCATGGAAAGGAGTGCAACTAAGTTGGCAAGTGAAATCTACGTGAGACACAATTCTTTGAAGGACGGATTTTTAGCTGAATTCCCCTGATTGACGGAGTCAGTGGAAAAAGGGGGAAATATCACGGGTTTATCGTTAATGAGAGTTAAGTGACCCTTTTATGAATTCTCGGAAATCATTTTACGCAGAACTGATTTATCAGTTTTTTTTCTTCGACGTATCTTTGGATAAATAAATTCAGTGGATTCATGACTTGTTGTTTAAGGGTATTCAAGTATTCTTTTACAGGTTGGTACAGGCCACACTAGAGATTCAACCATTTTCAATCATTAAGTTTGGTAATTAATTAGTTGAATTGATGAATGAAAATTCTGAATATGAATGAATTGGTTACGATTCTGAACAAATGATTTTTATCGTGGAAAATTGATTGTTTATAAATTAATTATAGAAAATGCTTGTCATTTTAAAGAATTTCAATTTTTTAATTATTTTATCAATCTTCCACCAAAAGTACACTTTTGAATTTTATTTCAGATTTTTAAAATGTAGAGTAGCATTTCGTTGAAGAAAAAATAGCAGAAGGACTTTCAATATCCTTAAGGATATCTAAGTGTCTTTTACAGTTTGGTGTAGACCATACCATAGACTCAACCATTTGCAATCATTAAATTTGTCAATTAAATCGCGTGAGAAATATTTAAAGAAAAATCATGAATATTTAGCGCCATTCAAATTACATTTAGCACAGAATTTTTATGCTCAAATATTCATTGTTTATAAACAAATAATGTAAATTGTTTAAACTTTCGAAAAGCTAATTTTTTAGGTATGAAATCGATTTCTGTTAAAATTCTGAATATGAATAAATTTGTTATAATTCCGAACACGTGATTTTTACGGTGAAAAATTGATAGTTTATAAATTAATTATAAAAAATGCTTGTTATTTTCAAAAATTGCAGTTTTTTAATTATTTCATCAAACTTCCACCAAAAGTAAACTTTGGATTTTTTTTCAGATTTTTAAAATGTTTTTTAATGGTTCATATCGAGATTCAAGTTCAGATCTGCGAAGTTTAAATAGTAAAAACATTGTAAAGTGTCTGGAAATTTAGGGTCAAATGGAGCTCAAATGAGAGCTCTGATGTTTGTCTACAAAAGTAGAGTAGCATTTCGTTGAAGAAAAAATAGCAGAAGGACTTTCAATATCCTTAAGGATATCTAAGTGTCTTTTACAGTTTGGTGTAGACCCCACTATAGATTCAACCATTTGCAATAATTAAATTTATCAATTAAACTGCGTGAGAAATATTTAAAGAAAAATCATGAATATGTAGCGCCATTCAAATTACATTTAGCACAGAATTTTTATTTCCAAATATTCACTGTTTATAAATAAATAATGTAAATTGTTTAAACTTTCGAAAAACTAATTTTTTTAGGTATGAAATCGATTTCTGTTAAAATTCTGAATATGAATAAATTTGTTACGATTCCGCGCAAATGATTTTTACGGTGAAAAATTGATAGTTTATAAATTATTTATAGAGAATGCTCGTAATTTTCAAAAATTGCATTCTTCAAATCATTTCATCAATCCTCTAAAAGTAAACTTTCCAATTATTTCCAGCTTATTAAAATGTTTTCTAACGGTCTAAACTGCTCTCTAAAAGTACTTGGATATCCTCAACACCCGAATATTGCTCCAATTCTGAAATCCTCTCTCCCCAAAAGCCGCCTGAAATTGCGAATAAATCCAAGAAATGCAAAACACGAAATAAAAACTCAGAGAAATTGCGTCAGGTAACTGGTATTGCCCAGTGAGTCACTCTAAACCGAGGAAAACCGCCTCCTGATGAAGATAATAACACGAGTAGAGGTATGATGCCAACATTTTTTTCACCTCTCTGATTACAATAAAAAAAATGACAACTCACCATTCAATGCTGCGGTATCCCCTGAGACAACAGTGAATTGCCTTGAATGCTCCAACATTGGCGTACTCAGTCGTGACAACTTCCTTTGTAAACCTCAGGCCGCCAGGAAGATTATCAAATTTGTGTGCTGAACAGTACTCCTCGAGTTCATTATCACGAACGGGGGGTGGCCCCCCGGCGACTAGACAGAAGCCGGTGATTAACGAGATAACGAACAACCACCTGGTATCACTTCTCAACAGTGCCATCGTTCTCTTCATATTACTATTCATTAATAATTGTTTCTCCGCTAAATTAAAATTAAATCACTGTCACATATTTCGCAGTCACTCCGAGAGAGTTTAAAAATCCCCGAGGGTAATAAAAAATCTTTTATCTAGTATCTTCAGTTACAAACAAGAACACTTCACATTTTCCTCAAATTCAACTGCTGTATTTCGAATGTTTTATTTGTGTTCTCCTAACCTATCGCGCCGGGAGCGTAAGTTCTGCGGAGTAAATTTCAGCAAAAACTAATTTTTCAACAATATTTGTGCCCACGTCGGCAGTATCACCCCGAGTTGATGAATAATTGCACGGTTTTATGTCACGTCTAATGCGGGGAATTAAAAACCAATGAAAATTATTTAAAACGCGTGCAAATGACGGAGCAACAGTAGTCAACACTTCGAGTGTCGATGAACGACTGAATTGGGAATTGGCGGATTCAATGCTGAATGGCCGGTAGCGTGTTCCAACTTGTCCGATTCGTGTTTCTGCTCGTCACTGCTCGTGTTCCGGCGATTCCCCCCGACGAGCAGAGGTAACGCCTCATGTATTTCTGAGAAATTTGAAAAATCCCCGGCCAGCGCCATCTCTCGGAAAATACTGAGTTGTAGGGATGGGCGATGTTTTTAAAAACATGAATTATCGAAGAATCGGTATTTTTTAAAAACATCGAGGTTGTGAATGGATTTTTCTGAAAAAACATCGATTATTAAAAAAATCGATGTTTTTTTTCATCACAGGAAGATTGAGATTCGAGTGTTACAAACTTTGGCTCCCCAGCCGGGTATCGAACCCGGGTCGCTCACATGCCAATCCCATGCATTATATTTCATCAAAATTTTCAGATAGTTGAGATATTTTTTGATAAAACAATCAAAGAGCGATGAAACAACAATTTTCGTCTTTGTGGAAAATTCACTTTCACTAATTATTCGAATGGAAGAAAAAGGTTCAAATTGATTCAACTACAATTAAAAAGAATTATTTCGATCTCACTTTTAATGAATAAACTCGTGATATGAATATATATATTTTATAATTTTATGAAAAATTAATCATGACAGGAGAGAACATATGCAAACCTGTTATGAGCAACTGAAATGTTATTATTGTAATACTTTCGACTAAATTAATGATAATCAACAATAATGAGCTAAACGTGGTTCATGTAGACGACGAACTTGTTGAATACAGAGCCGATGGAAAAACCCACTTCAATAACTGGGGAATCGTTCAACGAAAATATAAATACCGAAACGTTGATAAAAGACGTACCTCGTGGAGCAAATGTCACGTTATTGCGACGAGAATATCAGCCCACAAAGGAACGAAGGGGTGAGAGGAGTAATAGAAATGAATAAAAGAAAAGCAATCTGTTAAATGTAAGAAAGGGATAATAAAAATCACAATAATGATAGAATTTCATTGTGTGGAAAATCTAAAACAATTAGTTGGAAAGATATTAATTCAATTCAAGAAAATAAAATAGACTAATACTATATTGTTTGCATTTTAATGACGACTCTGCAAAGAAGGCGATCCTACAATATATGGACAAATATCTACTCTTTTAAAAAGTTATTTGGGGAGTGAATTTATTGGGTTTATACCTTTTCATTTAAATTACTTCCTACACTATAAATAATATACAATGGAAAAAAATAAACAAAATGACCATTCGGAAGCATATTGCTAATTTATTAGCTAAAATAACTATACTATACGCAATACAGAAGCAATTTCCCACTTTTTTTTTGTTCACCGATTGGTTTTTTGCGCGGGAATAATAGTTTCTCCTTCGTCTCACCTCCTACATGCCCGCCCCGCCGTATATACCTTCATTCACCAATGATGGTAATTGATTATTTACTGTCCAGGGATAAGAATGATCCCCGAGGTGCCGACAATTCGATTGAAAACAACAAGACAAATAAAGAAGGATTTGAACGGCGCGCAATTATATCACACTCATGGACGATTACCTTCCCGGTAACACACGTGATACGAATAAGTTGAAAGGAGGTAACATCATCGTGGCCTTTATTCATGGGTAGAGTGCAGCCGTTTATCCGAGTACACCAGCATTATGCGCTTCGTCAAGCATTTTTTCCCCTCATTTTTATTTGCATTTTTTTTCCTCGGCAGTGCGTTCAAGGTATTATGAGTCGCAATCGCCGGGAGATTTCATGATTAGAAAATAGAAATACTTATGGCTGGTATTCATAAGTAGTTTTTTATTCTCAAGTAAGATCGGCTTACGCATTCGTTATCACCGTCTAGCGTTGTGGGATGAATGAGGATGGAGGTATGCTAAGACGATCTTTTTTAGAATGAAGAACGACTATGAATACCGGAGTATGGGCGGATTTACGGGAGTTGAGATAAGACTGGAGTGATAATAGTCTTCCGGACGAAGTTTTCTGGGGCAATTTGTTGAGCAATTATGGAGAGGTTTTCATTGTTTATTTTTACCGCATTTTTTTGTCTGTGAGAGATGGTGAATTAGTAATGCATAAGAGGGTTGAGATAATGATGTGGTGTTAAGGATATACAAGTACTTTGGCTGTTTTTGTCCAGTGAAATGGTTTTCTACTTTTATAGTCGAACATCAGAGCTTTCATTTAAAGTAGCTCGACCCTTACGGTAAATTCAAAGATTATTGACAACTGCAAAAAAATTGCAGAAAACTCGATTAGATTCGGAATTCTATTTTTTTTCTTAATTTAATTATCGTTTTGGTTATTCAAAGAAGAAATGTGTAAAAATCAGGATTTAACCCAGTGTCTTATGTGAAAATTAACATTTCCATTGTAATCAAAGATTAAAATCAAGAATTTTTTTGACACCTCATAAAAAATAATCCACCGTTTTGCAAACAAGTTTTATTATTTATTTATAAGAGGGAAATGTTTTGAAAATATCAATATTTTGCGAAATTTAACTTAGATAATTCTGACTGGGTATGAATTTTTTCAAATTTTTTCAAGGCAATTTAGTTGAAAAATTAAAAAACTGAAAATATCCAGAGATTTTACAATGATTTTATTATTTAAACTTTGCAGGTCTGAATCGCGATATTGAACCGTTAGAAAATATTTTAAAAATCTGAAAAAAAATTAGAAAGTTTACTTTAGGAGGAAGATCGATGAAATAATTTTAGAATTGCTTTTTTTTACAATTACGAGCAGTTTTTACGAATAATTTGTACACAATCAATTCTTCATATTTGGAATCGTAACACATTTATTCATATTCAGAATTTTAACAAAAATCGATTTCTTGCCTAAAAAAATTGGGTTTCCAATAGTTTAAACAATTTCAACTATTTGTTTACAAGCAACAAATGTTTGAAAAAATAATAATTCTGTGCAAAATATAATTTTAATGCCGTTGAAGATTCCTGATTTTCTGAAAATTTTCTGACGCAATTTACTTGCCAAATTGATGATTGCAGATGGTTGAATCTATAGTGTGGTCTATACAAAACTGCAAACGATACTTGGATATTCTTAAGGATGTCCTTACTTTCGCTGTTTTTGGCAGTTTTTTCTCCAGAGAAATGCTTTTTTAATTTTGTAGTCGAACATCAGAGCTTTCCTTTGAGCCCTATCTGTCTCTAAGTTTCCGAACATTTGACAATGATTTTATTATTTAAACTTTGCAAATCTGAATTTGAATCTCGATATTGAACCGTTAGAAAACATTTGAAAAATTTGAAAAAAAAATCGAGAGGTGACTTTTAAAAGAAGGTTGATGGAATAATTGAAAAATTGTAACTTAAAAATTACAAGAATTTTCTATGAACAATGAATTTTCCACAACAAAAATCATTTGTTTGGAATCGTAACAACTTTATTCATGTATTTATTCATGCCTACAAAAAAAAATTTTTGAAAGATTAACAAACTTGAATTATTTATTTATAAACAAAGAATATTAAAAAATAATAATTCTGTGCAAAATGTAATTTGAATGACGTTCAATATCCACGATTTTCTTCGAATTTCGCTTACGCAATTTAATTAACAAATATTATGATTGAAAATGGTTGAATCTATAGTGTGGATAAAAAATCCTCCGATATCCTTAATCCTCCGATAATTACCGGGCCAATATTATTCTTCGAACCGTCAACTATCCTATTCAATTTTCTTTTCTCTCCATTTTGTATATTCCCTTTTAGAAAAACGCCATTGAAAAAACTTGTTCAACAACTAGGCTAGTAACGATGCGCTAATTGGCTTCAGCGGTCAGCGGCAGGCTCTGGGTTCTCAGTAGAGAACAAAAAAAAACGTTCAAAATTTCCTTTGAACTCAGCTCCATATTTTTCCTGAGTTGAAATGATCGCAATTTATTTACAACGAATTCAACCCATTGCCGCCTCTTACAGTACCCCACTTGTCGCCGTTTTGTGCCTTCCTGGCGACACACTAATCCCTTGACACACCCCCCACTTCTCTCAGACCGAGACGATTCACGACGTTCGTGAAGCAAAGGGTTCAGGGATATCCTAGGACAATACCACCCAAAAGTTGGTCTCTATGGATTTCCGGAAAAATTCAAAATGACTTAATTTATTGCCGTTGACGAATTTGCGAGACAATTCAACGTAAATATTTAATCCCTCAAGTACGGCGTATGGACCTAAGCGAAAATGCATTACTCTTTTCAACATTAGATGATTTCGAAACTATGACAGATAATGAAATTAAACCGACGTCATTGGAAAACTGAATTGGAGAGGTTTAATTACATACAGGTTTCATAATTTTTTATCCATCAGAAGTTATCGAATATCAGTGATATGGAGGCCTCGTTAGAGTTGGCAGCAGAAGGGCCCCGTACGTGGGGGTTATCTCTGTCCACATACTGCAACACATATATGTAAAGTTTTTTTTTTATAGAAGAGTAAACCTGTAGGTTCGAAAGCATCCATAAAAATGTAATTTATTGCATTCTCATGAGTTATGGAGTTTTTCTATCCTCATATGTCGTGGATGAAGGCAACAATAACTGTTTTTTTATTTAAAGCATTCAAACCATTCGGTTTATTCTGCTAAAAAAAATTTATAATAATAATAACTATTAAAATATCGAGATCACAACAATAACTATTAAAATCAAGAAATTATTATAGCTCTCCCCCAATTATTACATTGGATATCTCCAGTCCAGCAATTTCACGAAATTTCTTTTTTTCCATCTGCAAATATACTGTTGTGCTTTTTTTATAACACTTGAGCAAGTAAAAAAAATTTTCAACCACCAAAAATTAACAGATACCGATTGCAAAAAATTATGCATCAATCTTAAAAAGAAATACAATTTTACTAAAATGATCATAATTAATTTTAAAATATTTAATAAACTCGAGGGCGTCTCCCGGCTAAAGTTTACACACTATAGAAAATGCTGTTCACAGAACTTTTTTTTATACTAGTTTTTAAGGTTTGTA